ATGATGATGATGATGATGATGATGATGATGATGATGATGATGATGATGATGATAATAATAATTTTTATTATTATTACTGCACTTGTATTTGTAGCTTTGTAGCTCATGTACATCCATGCTCTACTGCTTGCTTCACGCACTTTATAACTATTGTTACCCCAGCAAACCCTAGAACATTCAGACACGTTCTCGTACTAAGTGTAAATACCTGCCCATCCCTACTCGGGGGCAACCAGCAGGAGACTGGGACACACCTGGCATCAAGTTGAAGAAAGTAAAACCAAAAACAGACAGCACATGAACGTTACCAGTCGACTGCCTGTTTCACAGGTGGGGAAATACTCCAGTCAATAGGATTCATTTTATTGAATCGAGGCCAGATTGATTTTTCTTCAGGGAGGTACCATTTTTTACAATACCACTTATTTAACTTGCGACATTGAGCCATAATGTGCTTGAGTTTGAAGTTCACAGTCAAATCAGTCAGGTATAGTTGAATTCGATCGTATTCCGCCAAGATGGTAGATTGTGCCATTTCTATGAAAGAAAATCTGGCTGGCCCAGACTCTATCAAAATGAATCCAACTAACTGTGCGCACCAAGTGTCTATATAAGCAGTCAGGTAAAGTTGCGTAGATATAGTAGAGACTATGGTTGTATGACATTATTGTTGCTATGATCGGTTATAACAGTCACAGTGAGGCTATACAAAGTCTCTTGAAGGGCAGGGGAAGAAACTCTGCATTTCCTGGCCGTTTTTTGTGCGTATGTGTCACCTGAAGCACCACAACGTGGCCATGTTCCCTTTTGTTCGACTTATCGGATTTGACCTAGGACGAAAAGAGTGTGCTTAATAAACCGTGATTGGTATAAATACGTATGTTTCGACCTCCGCATAAGATGACCATCCCAGGAAAAGACAGACGCCTTGGTCAAAGCGGAAAGCATGTAAGGGTACAATTCATATTCTTCTTCATATAAAGCGCGAACGTACAAATATAGACATACGATCAAAAAACATATAAATACAAAATCCTACATACCTATCTACCTACTTACATACCTACCTAACTGCCTACCTAACTACCTCCTACCTACCTACCTACCTACCTACCTACCTACCTACCTACCTACCTACCTACCTACCTACCTATTTACCTACCTACCTACCTACCTACTACCCGCTTGTCTGCCTGCGTATCTATATTATGTATATTAGATATGCATGGCATAAAGAGTAAGTGGAGAAAAGACAGCGAGAGATTGAGGTGCAGGAAAAGAAGCAGACATATAAACACATAGGTCTGCTCAGAAATTTCAAAAATGTTACATTAAAGCAACACATGTAGACCGCATAATCTTTTTTACAGAAAATTATCGTCAGAATAGCACGAAATTCTCCCCAAAACCACGGCCTTTTCCTGTCTAAACTTGTTTCCTTCTCATCCATCGATCATCGTTTTCTCCAGCTTCTTTCCCATTTTGTCTCGTTTCATGCCAAGAACAACGAAATCTCAGCAATTCAGGTGGGAAAGGTAAGGTGTGAAATAAATTATGTTATCCGAACGAGACAAAGCAAAGTCAATAGCGTCTGTTTATGAAAACTGATTCGTAGAAAATGAAAGATTGTATAATACAATTATGTAGCTAAAACCCACCAAAAAACTGTCCATTTTTGAAATTCTTGCTTCTGTAAAAAATGATAGGGAAAGATTCCAACTGTTCTACACTCCCGTCCACGTGATTACAGATAATTTAGGAGGGGTCTGTGTTTAGCCTGCTTGCAACGCAAACTCAGGCTGAGCAGGATACATGTTCCCAACAGAAAGACGGAGGCACTCGATAGAATGTCCTTCGAGTGCAACACAGTGAGGGGTGTAACTATTTAATCATTTAAGTCGAACGTGCTATAACGGCTACCTGTATAGGACAATCACCAGTGCAAGCGACCACTTCTTATTTTCTCATTTGCGTTTTTTAAATACAGTTTACTGACACTATGTAAGATGTCCATCTGTCTAAGACGACACTTTTTCCTCCACAGTGCAGGGTGGCTATCTTAGACAATTTCGGTTGTATTATGGTCGTCTATAGATAAATTACCCCTGCTCAGTCACAAGAACATCCCAAACGAAGCTAAATCCCTGCTTATCAATAACATCTTCATACCAAAATTAAAATACCAGTGCCAAACGAGGTCTCTAAACAAAAATCAATGTATGTGAAATGAGGTGTCTCCTCAAAACCATGAACGTCACCAGAAGAGTCTGCATAAGAAATGAAATCATACGTCTACAAACTGCAATACCACTAGTTATAAAATTCACAGAGCGTCAAAGAGTCAAATGGTTTGGATATCTAACAAGAATGCCCCAGAAACAACTCGCGGCTAGAGCTTACAACACCCGAGAACCCGGCTTCAAATCAAGAGGAAGACCAAAAAAGACCTGGCTGGTTGGGGTTAAAAAGGTCCTGGAACAACATAACATATCTGGCGTCGGTGGCCTAGTGGTTAGGCTCTCGGACTCGCAACCGTAAGGTCATGGGTTCGAATCCCGTCAAGGGCCCGACGTTGTGTCCTTGGGAAAGACACTTTACACGAATTTTCTTCACTTCACCCAGGTGGGAATGGGTACCCGGCTATAGACA